GACCCCCCGCAAACATCACCTCCGAATGCGACCAAATTATGTAATTTTATTTTGTTGTGCATTTGTACTGTATGGGGTTGGGGTCTGAAATGGACTAAACTACTTCACAAAACCCCAGGGGAAAAAATTCGGCATACGGGACCTAACATACTTCCCCGGGGTGAAAAAAATATCTTAACCGGGGGGCCCCTGTATATAGTAGAGCCAAATGGGGAAGGGGAAAAGGGAAATTTAAAGGGAAAAGCCAAACTACAAAAGGGGGACTACACAGGTATAGGAAATTCCTGCAGGAGGTTTAGTTGGACAGGAACTGGTTGGAAAATCAGTAAACGAGATAGGGGAATAGTAACAACAAAGTGCAAGGAGGGGAGAGGAAAGGTTTGTTCCCAAGGGAAATAGAAATAAAGGGAAACAAAGTGGGGGCCTTGGTTTACCCAAGGTGTAGGGAGGCAAAAACTAAGTGCACAGAGAATGGAAAAGGGACAGGAGGGAAAAGGGCTCAGGAGAATAAGGAGATTAGAAAAGGCCAAAAAAGTATCACAGATAAGGAGGGGGGCCCCTTACAGTACGAGAAGACATAGATTGAAAGTCAAATCACCCGAAAATGCTTTTTGCCAATTAGGAGGAAACAAAAGTCAAAGACCAGTGATAAGGCGAGGAAAGAAGGGGGAAAAACCCCAAGAAAAAGATCAAGAAGTTGTAAGGAGCCAAATGAATTTAAGGGAAATATTTTCAGTGGAACAGGAAGGCCCCTGGGGGAAGAAAAGAGGGGGACACCGCAAGGGAAAATACCAAAAAGTGTTGGATACATACATACAAATGAGGAAGAGGGAAGAACTGCAAGGGCATCAATAACCTCAAAAGGGAATGGGGCCGGACAGCATCTCCCCCGGGGGCCCTTTAAAGGGGGGCGGATAGCGTGTTTGGCCCCTTTTCCACAATCTTCAACACATCCCCGGGAAAAGGGGAACTACCGGGGGTATGGAAGATGGGAAATGTATTCCCCTTTTTAAAAAAGGGGACGAAAAGAGGCCTAAACTATAGACCTTGGTCACTGACGGAAAAATTGCAAAGTTATGGAGAAGATTATCAGGAGGAGAGTGGTGGAGCACCTGGAACGGAACAAGAGTATAAACGCCAACCAGCATGGATTCATGGAAGGCAAATCCTGTGTCACAAACCTGGAGTTTTATGATAAAGTAACACAAGTAAGACATGAGAGAGAGGGGTGAGTTGATTGCATCTTCTTGGACTGCAAGAAGGCCTTTGACACAGTTCCTCACAAGAGATTAGTGCAGAAGCTAGAGGATCAGGTGCATATAACAGGAAGGGCACTGCAATGGATCAGAGAATACTTGACAGGGAGGCAACAACAAGTCATGATATGTGATGAGGTATCACAGTGGGCACTTGTGACGAGCGGGGTCCCACAGGGGTCGGTCCTAGGACCAGTGCCATTTTTTGGTATATGTGAACGACATGATGGAAGGGTTAGACTCAGAAGTGTCCCTGTTCGCAGATGATGTGAAGTTAATGAGGAGAATTAAATCAGATGAGGATCAGGCAGGACTTCAAAGAGACCTGGACAGACTGGACACCTGGTCCAGCAACTGGCTTCTCGAATTTAACCCCGCCAAATGCAAAGTCATGAAGATCGGGGAAGGGCACAGAAGACCACTAACAGAGTATAGGCTAGGTGGCCAAAGACTGCAAACCTCGCTCAAAGAGAAAGATCTTGGGGTGAGTATAACACCGAGCATGTCTCCGGAAGCACACATCAACCAGATAACTGCTGTGGCATATGGGTGCCTGGCAAATCTGAGAACAGCATTCCGATACCTTAGTAAGGAATCGTTCAAGACACTGTACACTGTGTACGTCAGGCCCATACTGGATTATGCAGCACCTGTTTGGAACCCGCACTTGATCAAGCACATCAAGAAATTAGAGAAAATGCAAAGGTTTGCGACAAGGTTAGTTCCAGAGCTAAGGGGAATGTCCTATGAAGGAAAGGTCATAGAGTCGTCAGGAAGTGGAATGGCCCAACAAGTGATGTAGTGGAGGCAGGAACCATACATAGCTTTAAGACGAGGTATGACAAAGCTCAGGGAGCAGAGGGAGAGAGGACCTAGTAGCGGTCAGTGAAGAAGTGGGGCCAGGAGCTGAGTCTCGACCCCTGCAACCACAATTAGGTGAGTATAATTAGGTGACTACATGAAAGGTCCATTGGCGCTAGTGATCATGACATCCTGAGTTTTGAATACCTTGTAGAGTTAACAGTGGAGAATACTACTGCATGAAAAGGATGGAAGAAGCCAGACTTCAAAAAAAGGGGATTACATAGGCATGAGGAGATTCCTGCATGAAGTGCAGTGGGAAAGAGAGCTAGAAGGAAAGACAGTAAATGAAATGATGGAACTAGTGACCACATAGTGCAGGGAGGCAGCGGAGAAGTTCATACCGAGGGGTAACAGAAAAAATGGTAAGACCAGAGTGAGCCCATGGTTTAACTGAAGGTGTAAAGAGGCCATACCTAAGTGTTCTGAAGCATGGAAAAAACATAGAAGGCAAAAGACTTGAGAAAACAAGGAGTTGAGCAGAAGAATGAATATGTAGGGATAAGGAGAGAGGCCCAGAGGCAATATGAGAATGACATAGCATTGAAAACCAAATCTCAACCAAAGTTGTTATATAGTCACATTAGGAGGAAAACAACAATCAAGGACCAGGTAATCAGGCTGAGGAAAGAAGGAAGGAAGCTCACAGAGAGTGACCAGGAAGTATGTGAAGAACTTACCACAAGATATAAAGAAGTACATGCATTCACAGTAGAGACGGAAATGCTTCCAGCAAACCAAGAAGGTAGGGTGTGCCAGCAAGTGCTGGACACAATACACATAAGCAAGGAGGAAGTGAAGAAACTGCTAGGTGAACTTGATACCTTGAAGGTGGTGGGCCCAGATAACATATCTCCATGGGGCCTGAGAGTGGGAGCAGAGGAACTGTGTGTGTCGCTAGCAGCAATTTTCAATAAATATATTGAAACTGGGCAACTGCCTGAGGTGTGGAAGACAGCAAATGTAATTTCAGTTTTTAAGAAAGGAGACAGAGAGGCAGTGTTAAACTACAGACCAGTGTCACTGAAATGTATAGCATGTAAAGTCATGGAAAAAATTATCAGGAGAAGAGTGGTGGAACAAATTGAAAGGATTGGGCTCATACATGACAATCAGCACGGGTTCAGAGATGGGAAATCCCATGTCACAAATCTACTTGAGTTCTACGATAAGGTAACAGAAGTAAGACAGGAGAGAGAGGGATGGGTAGATTGCATCTTTTTTGATTGCAAGAAGGCTTTTGACACGGTACTACACAAAAGACTTGTTCAAAAATTAGAGGAGCAGGCAGATATAGTAGGGAAAGTACTGCAATGGATCAGGGAATACCTGACAGGAAGGAAACAATGAGTGTTGGTATGTGGTGAAGTGTGAGGGTGAGCACATGTGTCAAGTGGGGTTCCACAAGGGTCAGTCATAGGTCCGGTTCTGTTTCTGATATATGTGAATGACATGATGAGAGGAATAGATTTAGAAGTGTCGCTGTTTTCTGATGATGTGAAACTGATGAGGAGAATACAAGCGGGTGAGGATCACGTAAAATTACAAGATCTGGATAGACTGCAAGTCTGGTCCAACAAATGGCTCCTGGAGTTTAACCTCAGTAAGTGCTAAGTCATGAAGATTGGGGAAGGACAGTGAAGACCACAGATGGAGTACAGGTAGAGGATCAAAGGCTGCAAACTTCACTTAAAGAAAAGGATCTTGGAGTAAGCATTATACCGAGCATTTCCCCTGAGGCAAACATCAAATAACTGCTTCAGCATATGGGTGCTTAGCAAACCTGAGAATAGCATTTCGACATCTAAGTAAGGAGTCATTCATGACACTGTACATCATGTACATCAGGCCCATACTGGAGTATGCAGCACTAGTATGAAACCCACACTTGGTCAAATGCATCAGGAAATTGGAGAAAGTGCAAAAGTTTGCAACAAGACTAGTCCTTGAACTGAGGGTTATGTCTTATGAGGTGAGGTTAAGGGAATTCAACCTGATGACACTAGAGGAGAGGAGGGATGGGGGGACATTATAACGATGTATGAAATACTGAGAGGAATTGACAAGGTGAACAGGGCTCTAATATTTCAGAGATGGGACACAGGAACTAGGGGGCACAACTGGAAGTTGAAAACCCAGATGTGTCATAGGGATGTTAGGAAGTACTTCTTTAGCCTTAGAGTTGTCAGGAAGTGGAATAATCTGGAGAGTGAAGTAGTGGAGGCAAGTTCCATATGTAGTTTTAAGAAGAGGTGTGATAATCCTCTAGGAGCAGGGAGAAAGTGACCTACCATTGACATATAGGTGAGTACACACACACACACACACACACACACACACACACACACACACACACCACACACACACACACACACACACACACACACACACACACACACACACACACACACACACACACACACACACACACACACACACACACACACACACACACACACACACACTCTCTCTCTGTCTCTTTCTCAGTGTATATATCCCTTGATTTTTTTTTTTTTTTTTTTTTTTTTTTTTTTTTTTCCAACAAGTCGGTCGTCTCCCACCGAGGCAGGGTGACCCAAAAAAGAAAGAAAATCCCCAAAAAGAAAATACTTTCATCATCATTCAACACTTTCACCACACTCACACATTATCACTGCTTTTGCAGAGGTGCTCAGAATATAACAGTTTAGAAGCATATACGTATAGAGATACACAACATATCCCTCCAAACTGCCAATATCCCAAACCCCTCCTTTAAAGTGCAGGCATTATACTTCCCATTTCCAGGACTCAAGTCCGACTATATGAAAATATGAAAATATTTAGGCATATTATAACTTCATATTTTTATTTGTGTATATATTGGTTTATTTTTGTTGTCAGGTGCCACAAACAATCCAACCTCAGACTCTGACACTGCCTCCTGCCCGGACCCAACCCCCTATTGCTGCATCCCTTCAGCACCACACATTACACTCAGGCACACAGGCCCCCACCAAGCCAGTCTTAAGAAAGCATGGGAAACTTATAGCCTTTTTCAGGTAAGGAATATTATTATGTACTCTTGTTTATTTTACCCAATGTGAGCTTTAAATTTTGAGGAAGAATATTTGGCTTATGGTAGTTTGAATGGTTTATTTAACGTTTTGTTTGTCAGGAATATGTTTGATACATGGATCATGATGGCACACTGGGTGATGAGGTAGTGTGTCTAATTCATATATTCATTGATGAAACCATTAGCTTATCTTAAAATTTGATCATGTTATTTTATCACAGTTAATTGCATTGATAAATTCCCTGGTGGGATGGAACATATTTTTTTTTTACTGTCTCATTCTCTTTAATTGAAAGCCTTTTCTGTATCCACATTTTTTAAAATACAAATTTTATCTTTAAAATAGTACAGAATAATTTTCTACAGGAGGCACCAAAAATGCAAAATTTGATATTTGATGTAATGTGTATGAAATTACACTGGAGTGAAGCTAGAAGTCAGGGAACACTTTACAAAACACTGATTTTACCCACTGATTCAATTCTCAGCTATTTTGCTGGAATGGCTTCCATCCTGTCCATTGACTACAGGAAACTGCCTATTCATATATGCCAATTTTATGATATTTTCAACAAATTTCAATTTAAAAATAGTCCCCAAAACTAGGTATTCCAGCTACTAAAGTAACCTCTTTCTTCATTAATCACATCCCCAGGTCTCTCCTGTATAACACTTGTCCTTCATTTTGAATTCATCATAATACAAAAGTCAAATTTTTCCCAGTTTTTCCTTTGAATAAACCATAACCAAGAACTCCTGGTTATGGTTTAGGCTGACCCAGTAATTGAAGTTAACCTAGTAAAAATACATAAAACAGAATGGGCAGAAGGGGTATGGTGGACCACACCATTCCCCAGGAAAATCGGCCAAGATTGACCATTTCTTGCCAATTTCATGCCTATTTCAGAACATTTTCAGTCTTAAACCGACCCTTTTCTTGCCAGTAACACCATCAAAACCACCTGAGAAAATGCCCCAGTGTCACTGTTGTTACACATATATAAGGTCACAGGTTAACTGTGTGGAGGAGGAATTTTTTTTTATGCTGTGCACACCCACCATATAGATGCAGTCTGTCATCTAGGCCAAAATTTGCTCACACCAAATTTGAGGGCACTATGACTTCTGTGAACTAGTCCATCATGGACTCTCATCACTGTGACGTATTGGTATGCGATGGATACCTTAGGGAGTTAAAAAAAGTTAGCTAATGTTGCACGTCTCTCTCTTGGTTGGTTGGCTGAACATCTTAATCCCTAAAATAGGGATTTAACCCTTTCAGGGTTTCGGATGTACTAGTACAGCTTATGCACCAGGGTTTTTGACGTACTAGTACGCCTAAATTCTAGCATCCTCAAATCTAGTGAGAGAATCTGATAGGCCTACATATGAAAGAATGGGTCTATGTGGTCAGTGTGCGCAGTATAAAAAAAATCCTGCAGCCCACAGTGCGTAATGAGAAAAAAAAAACTTTGACCGTGTTTTTGGATTAAAACAGCGACTTTGCACTGTATTTTCGTATGGTATTTATTGTTGTATTCTAGTTTTCCTGGTCTCATTTTATAGAAATTTAGATGATTTTGACTGGTTTTACAATGAAAAGTACCTTGAAATTGAGCTCAAAGTAGCAGAAATGTTCGATTTTTACCAAAGTTCAAAAGTAAACAAATCATGCTACGTGTCCAATACACATCAACTGGTGAGTCTGATATTCTTTCACAAGTGCGCTGATATTATTTATACCATTTCTACACTAATACAGTAGTCTGCATAACAGTAAATCTTCTATTGTTTGTGAGAATAAAAATTCAAAGTGGAAAGCAAAAGAATGTAAGAGGGGCGTGGGGACGTGACTAATGAACAGAGGAAATGTTATTTTAGTGCCAGGAATGTCTTTCTTGTTTACTCTGGACCCTATTCGGAAATTGGCATCTTTTGAAATTTGTGTGAAATTGGCAAAATTGCTAAATTCTGACTACTTTATTGGATAGTTGAAATCAGTAAATGGGCGCTTTCTTGTACTCATTCGATAGAAAAAATGGAGTTCTAGCGAAATAGTTATAATTTTTGTTGACTAGTACACTAGAATTGGCCGAAAATAGGGCTCAAAGTGGGCAAAATTGCCGATGTGTAAACATCGTCGAGACCGCTAACTTCGCGAGAGCATAATTCCATAAGTTTTCCATCAAATTTCATACTTTTGGTGTCATCATGATCGGGAAAAGATTCTTATCTTTTCATAAGAAAAATAATTTTTTTTTTTTTTTGAAAATTTGGCGACCCTGAGAACAAGTCTCGGAGAGGGCCTGGCGACCCTGAAAGGGTTAAGTAAACTCTCCTATTACAAGGGGGCCCCTCTTATACAGCAGGTTAGGTTCCAGGCTACTGCTGTAAAGCAAAAATTGCTGTAAAGTGAATCATAGCCTTTTTTCACTATCAAATTCATATAAAAGCCTGATAACATGTTTACACTATCATATGTTAAGTGAGCAATATAGCTAGGCCTTAAAAATGCATATACAGTACACACACATTACTTACGTTAAAATATTTTCTTCCTTTGCTTATAGTGAGTGGTTAATATATTTATTGTAGGGAGTCTGAATAAAAGAAGGATGGGTATAACTGAAAAATGCTGAGCAGCAAAACACAATCAGTCATGAGAGTATATTCAAGAAATTTATCTTCAACAAAAAATCATTTACCGAGATCAAGTAATTCATGACTGGGAGAATGAGCTCATTGGCACTGGAAGTATGCACTAGACACTACATGTACATATAATAAAAATTATAATAGTAAATATCATACTCTCCATGGGGAAGCAAAATGAATCTTTCCTCCATAAGCCATGTATGCTGTAAGAGGTGACTAAATTGCCAGGAGCAAGGGGCTAGCGACTTCTGCATAAATTACTCAATATAAAAAGAAGAAAAACTTTTCTTTCCTCTTTTTAGGGTCACCCTGCCTCGGTGGGAGATGGCTGGTATGTTATAAAAAAATTATGTCTAATTTATTTAGTGAATATATTGTTTACTGTGTTATTAAGGTACAGTAAATTATAACTGAATGAAAATGTTGTACAGTAGATCATCGATTATTTTGAACCTTCAGAGAAAAAGCACATGCTAGATTTTCAACAGCATCAGATGATCACTTTTTTACGGTCTGTTGGTTTGGTTCATTCTTTTTTTCACATTTTGCGTTTAGGTGCTGGATCGAACAGTGATGTAAGCCAAATAACCAGTTGCTGAAGAATTGATGATCTGCTGTTCTATACTTTTAGTGAAGCCCACTTTATGCATAGCATTTTTGTCTATATTGTAACTTATGCTGATGCAGGTTTTTATATTGTAAATGAATATACAGCCTCTCCTCACTTAGTGACATACTCATTTACTGACCACTCAGACTTACGATCAGCTCTCCAACCAGTATCCAAACCTAAATAATGTACATGTATATTAGAGCTGATTACCTCTATTCTGTTTATTACAGTATACAGTACATTACTGTGTAAACATTTAAAAATATATCAGAAATGTTAATAAATGGTGTAAAGGTGACATTAAAATAATATCTAAAGATGGTTGACACAAACCCCCTACAGTATAGTATGTTCTTTGCTTAATTCATCTACTAACTTACTCTTAGGAATGGAACCCCTTCATTAAGTGAGGAGAGGCTGTATATACAGGAGGGCCCCACTTATACAGTAGGTTAGGTTCCAGGCTACTGCTGTAAAGTGAAACATAGCCCCCTTTTTTTTCACTTTTAAATGCATATAAAAGCCTCGTAACATGTTTACACCATCATATATTAAGTGAGCAATATATCTAGGCCTAAAAAATGCATATATAGTACAGTAGAGCCCCACTTATATGGCAGATTAGGTTCCAGGCTACCGCCAGAAAGCGAACATCGCCGGAAAGAAGAACGCCATTTTTTGCACTCAAAAATGCATATAAATGCTGAATAACAAGTTTACACTAACATATATTAAGTTAGCAATAGAATTAGGCATTAAAAAAATAAAAAGTAAAATACACACATAATACACTCATTACTTACCTTAAAATATTTGTAGTCTTAATGTAGGGTGAGAGGTGAATCATATTTATTGTAAGAAGTCAGGTGTGGGAGGTATGGTAATCAGCCAGGATACCCCACCCACATGTTATATACCATGATATTTAGAGCACCCCAGAACGATAAAATGCACATACAGTACATTCATTATTTACCTTAAAATATTTGTCTTAATGTATGTGAGAAGTGAGTACATAGTATTTATTTGTAGGAAGTCAGGTGTGGGAGATATGATAGCCAGCCAGGACACCCCCACTCACATGTAATATACTGCGACATTTAAAGTGCCCTAGAGCAATAAAATGCATATACAGTTCACTCATTACAGGTACCATCTGACTTACGACCAGGCTTGGTTACAGCCAACTGGTCGTAAGTCAAAATGGACATAAGTCGAACCTTAGAAAATTGCCGATAGGGATACTTCAAAAATTAAATCTTAATCTTGTAAAGCAACCATTCTTTTATGTTTGTTGTGGAAATCACTTCAATCCATTCATTATTATTGACTAGTTTTCACAAACTAGGTAAATAATTTACTTCCGAGATAATAGCCGAAAGTGCGCGCATACCCGAGTACTCGGGAAATATTTTTTCCTGAAAAAATGCCTTTTTTTTCAGTGTTTTTGTAAGCTACGAGTGTCTATTACAGTTTGCCCTCGTGCTAGATCCGTTTTTTCTCATAAGAGTGATGAAAGAAGGGATAATAAGCCTTATGGTCGGTTTAGGAGAAACACTGTGCACAACATAAACAGTTGTTTATTTCCATGAACATTTGCAGCTGGTATATGAGAAAGAAAGGTTACAAAAGCTATGGCTTGGGTAGCATAAAAAATAGGTTGGTCAAATGTATATGGATGGACGGATTTGAGAAGGCATGCCTATTTTGGGTCA